CTGCTCCCAGCACAGAAATACAGGACTGAGTTACCCAGGAGCAGGGTCCTGTTCCCATTACGTTTCACTTCTTAGTTCCCATTTCTAAGTTTTAATCGTGAGGTAACTTTCCTCCCCTGCCACCCACAGAAGCATTTTGAGGATCAGAAACACACAGGGGACTTTTTCTTTTGACTTCAAGGGCTGTATAATGTGCAGTTTCACCTACCCAGGCATCTCCCCAGAAGTACAGCAGGAAAACGAGCCAGAGGCCAACGAGCCACTCAATTTAGGATTACAGCCTGGCCTTAAAAACCTCTGCGTTTCTGCGAATGGCCACTCCCACGAGGGGTTAAGCAGCTGCTCATAAATTAACCACCATCTGCTTAAAATTGTGTTCAGGAGAGTTAATTGCAGCAACCAGAGGACAACAAATTCACCCCATTTGCACCTAAAGTTGAGGCTTGCAAAGAAAAAAAAAACCCAAAGGAGTCCAGCAGCAACAAACACACAACTGGATTTAGGTTCAAAGACAACTGCATTTAGGTTCAAACGCATCGCTACAACATTTGGGCTGATACAGGAGAGAGAAAGTGAAGGTAATAAATAAACCACCCAGCAGCAGCCCATGTTTTGCAATTAGCACGTGATAAAAGGCCCTGGCAAGATCATCACTTAACAGGAAGGACATATTCCCCTACTAAAAGGTTCATTAGCGTGCTATTAGCAGCACCAAAGTGGCTCTTTCCTCTGGATCACCTTCAGATAAGCAGCAGCCCTTCAGATAAGAGGAGCAAACCAACCTGGTTTTGATTCCACTTAAAATCTGGAACTAGGACAAAGCCATTGCAGGGATCTGGATTTTCATGGATGATTCGATCGGCCTCAGCTTTCTTCTCCAGGATATTATACACCCACTGAAAGAGAAATATGTGATTTATAAACCCCGTGCACGTTTAACCCAGGCTCACGGATCAGCGCACATTCCCAGCAACTAGAGTATTAAACCCCGACGACTTGGGTTTAAGATGACCAAATAATTTCATGGCTGGTGAGATATGTAGTTAATTACCCATAAAACACTCCAGCAACGAACTCCAGGCTATTACGAGCACTTCAGCAAAAAGACACCACACACACACACCCCTGACCCCACTGGCTAGCGACATTGCTCGGGGGTTTTCCTCTCAGGCGTTAAGAACCGGCCAGAGCTGCAGACAAGGTACCAAACAGGGATGCTTTAGCCCAGTGTTGACAGTCATATTTGCCCCTCAGAGGATTTGGAGACCATTCGCCCCCGTGGGATCCAGCAACGCTCCTGGCTGCAGCTACCAGCCCCCTCTTGCAGCACCTCGGGGCTGTTTGCACCTTTTTACGTCCCGGGCTGCACCAAAACCTTTACAACCAGGTCTGGGAAGGGGACTTGGCTATTTTTTCCTCCCTTCCTTCAAAACAAAGCACCATCCAGAGAAGAGTTTCTGCTATGAAATGGAAGAGACCAGGGATAAGGGACAGAGCAAGACCAGCAGAAAGCACCTTTGCTGTTCCTGGCTCCCACCCCGAGCTCCAGCATCCTTCTTTACACCTCCAAAATGCAATTTATGCTCTAGCTTAAGTTTTGGGCTGCCAAGGGAATCCCCAGCCAAGTCCCGAGAAGATGAGACAGGCAGAAAACAGCTAGGGCTGGGAAGCTGGAAACGTTTTGAAACACCATTTTGCCCATCAAGGTCAGGTATGGAAAATTCTGGATACCTCAGGTGGGTAGGGAAGATGCAGCCAGCCTTGCAGACACACTGAGTCAGTGGGTACTGGGCACACCAGGCACTCAACATAAGGGCCTGTAGTGACAGGACAAGGGGTAACGGGTTTAAACTGAAAGTGGGGAGGTTTAGATTGGATATCAGGAAGAAGTTCTTCCCGGAAAGGGTGGGGAGGCACTGGGACAGGTTGCCCAGAGAAGCTGTGGACGCCCCATCCCTGGAAGTGTCCAAGGCCAGGCTGGATGAGGCTTGGAGCAACCTGGTCTAGTGGAAGGTGTCCCTGCCCATGGCAAGGGAGTTGGAACGGAATGGGCTTTAAGGCCCCTTCCAACTCAACCCAACTCATTCTATGATTCTATAAAAAGACAAGCCTTTTGTGGAACTCATCAAGAGTTTAATTAACCTAAGCAAAATTTAAGATTATTGTGAACTGGTCTGAATACATCCTTAGGAAGAAACAACCTCTTTTTTTGCTTAAATTTCCAGTCTGTTCTTTCTAGCAACAACATCTTGTCTAAGATGAGGTTCTCAAAGTGATTTTGGAAAGCACAGCACAAGATCGCTGTGCTCTGTGACCCTCGAAGAAAAGCAGGGCAG